ACTTAATTCATATTATATACATACAAGTTTAAAATATAGACGATAATGTAAACTACAATTAAAAATAACTAACTATCAATTTTACAAATACACTTCAAATTATTATTTACAACAAAATTTATCAAAGTATTATAAATTATAAAATTGTCATTAAAAGTGCTTACATACTCTTGTCAACTTAAAATGGAAACTAAATCAAAATTATTACAATTTTTAGACTAGTTTAAATTCTAACAGAGTAGTCATTCCTACAACTTCACTGAGAGTATGATCCTAGGATGATCAGTCTTCATTTCAATTCTTGAAAAATAATTGTAAAGGTGAGTATTCACTACCTCACTAAATCCTTTATTTTATAAATGAAACATGCACACACAAACATCATTAAATACAATATACACTAAAATAATGCTAGCACATATACTATACTAAAAAAATTTCAGTAGATCAAACATCATAACAATCACATTATTAATATTTCAAAATATACACTAAGGTCATGTTATTTCATATATTTTTACATAGATCAGCATATCATAATATGTGTATTATAATCATATTAATCAATATATTATGATACATATATTATATCTACATCCGTCGATGTATTATAATACTTGTGTTATAATTACCTTAATCAATCTATCATGACTCACATATTATAATCACACATTGCACAATTTTATAATCATTGCCCCTGGGATCCCTTGAAGTCATTCATAAGTATAGATAATCGTTAGTTAGCCCATGCATACGAATACAATGTATACAATAAAAGGTCCCTCAGTAAAAGTATAGTCAATAAACAAGTGTGAGGCCATATGATGCATTCGCACTCAATAGATTATGTACACACAAGCAAATGTCGTTCATGATTTCTGTACTCTCAATGTATTTCTGTATATATATATATATATATATATATATATATATATATATGTGTGTGTGTGTGTGTGTGTGTGTGTGTCAATTTTTCATGACACGTTTTTCAGTAATTCTCAATACTCATCTTCATTTCCTTTCATCACTTTTTATGATAGTACAATTTCCACTCTTTTTCTTTCTTGTTATAACAAAAATTTCACCATACCTGTCATTCGTTACTTTAAACAAACAACCATAATCTCAACTTATATTTCCAAAATAAAAGAGAATACAGAATCACACACACCAATAGCCTTTTTATCATATGCAATCAATTTCACATAATACAAATCAGTATAATGTGCCCAAAGTCAGACACTTTTGAACTTAAACCAATCATACAGTTCAAAAATACATTGCTGAAGATCACACTCACCTAGTCTTAAATAAAATCTTCTATCTTAAATTTTAGCATCATTCATAGCACACATATTATTCAAAATAAAATTTTATATATTAATTGTACATATATGATAATCAATAGTAAAATCATGGAACTTCTTAAAACAATTTTGTTCAGATGAGAAAATTTGATCATTCTCGCTTGAGCTAAAAGAAATATTATTTTTCTATTTTTTGTAAACTCTTCTATTTTGTAAACAAGAAAATGCAATTGAAAATTTAGGGTGTTGCATTTGAACTCCTAAAATGGGCAGAAGAAACCCAGAGGGTAAACCATATGGTGAGTCACTAGGTCTTGAACTTGAACCTACATCAGGATTGGGTAAACTCACCATGGCTAACCACTAGGGATGATGGCGTCGGTAATGCCATCGTTAGTACCAAATCCATGACAATATTGACCCTGTCGCTACTATTCTCTTGGTTAACTTTATATCATCACTTGGGTTTCTTGAATTATCATTCCAAGAATTATTACATCAAAAGTAGCAATATTCAAACAAAACACACTGATAAAGGTCCCATTAGGTGTGCCAATTTGTTTACGGTAAAAATTATAATTGGTAAACATATAAATTTAAGAGCAATCTAAAATTGAATTTTAATTCCTCTTTGGTTTCTTTTAATTGTGTTCTCAACGTAATTAAGCAAATCAATGTTGTAAAGCAAAAAATTAAACAAAAATAGTAGAGGTACAATGAAATGATGTTGAAACAAAATGTGAAGAAGTAGAGAAATAAACTGACATGAAAATAAATTTGCAAAAATATAATGTACAACTCTTAGCAATGATGAACATAGGTTCGTTGATCTCCAGGTCATCGGGTCTAATTTATGCGTAGAACTTTGCCTTGTAGAGATTTTGGGTGTTGGTGTCTAGTGCAAAAAGTCGTGCCTTAGAATGTAAAGCTTGATACTCTTTCTAGACAAATGTAACTTAATCGCTCTCTTTCTTTTGCGAGTGCCTCTTGGTAACTGTCTCTCCTGTGTGTATTTCTTCTATAATTGCTATCGTCCACAATTGTGCTTTACATGTATTTGATCTTCGCTTGGTGATAATCGTTGAGAACTGTTGGTAACCTCTGGAAACTGCCTTTAACACATCTTTCGATACACTTTATCCTCTTTTTACCTCCCTGTCTCTTGGACTTGTAAACTCTTTATTATTCTTCATTCTTTGACAATATTATGAAGAAATGGATCGAAGAGCCTTAGTTTCGACTGATTTTGACTCTTTCAGTCTGCGACAAAAATGAAGATTTCTATATTTCCTTGTGAAGTGTGTTAAAAATACGTTTTCTTTTGACAAAATTCTAAACTTTCCAAATCCTCTACCTGTCCACAATTTGTTTGACATGTGGGAACCTAAGATTACATTAATTTTAGTCAAAAACATATCTATATCAATGATTTTTTGAGGTGAACTCAGCCTTCTTTGAAGGCCTGAGGTCTAATAATAAAACTTTATAATTTAGTAAAATTTTTCTTTTTTCAAACAATAATATAATAAAATTATATTTATCGGTTCAATTGCTAGAGCTGTTATAACCGTGCCAAGTACACATCCTTCAAACCTTATGCTGATGACTTAATCACTCTTATAGAAAATATGTACTTCAAATGTATCACTGACTTGACTTAACTGTCTAATTATTGAATCAATAACACAACTTGTAATCAACATGAGATTCACATTAAAAAAGAATGTCAATCATTCAATATAAAATAGATTGCACTTAACGAGATTTAAGCATGAAATAAATAAAATGTAATTGAAATATTTAAGGTAAAATACCAAATAAAAGTTAAAAACAAACTTTAAATTGTGTTGTGATAGAGTAATTCTAAATTATTTAATTCTATATATTTAAATAAAAAAAATGCTTTTAGAGAATTCTAAAATTTTAATTAAATAATTTTGATATCAAATAGAATAAATTTTAAATGAATATCTTAAAAAAATAGAAGATTTTCTATTATACTTAAAGTTCTTTATATATCATTCATACTTAATTTTCCTTTTTAACAATTTTTTTTGTTCATTTTATATTTTTTTAAAATTAAAAAAATTTTCATTTAAATACAACCTTAATTTATTTGCTACTAATTGAATTGTGTCAAGACACTAAGCGAAATAAACGTGAGATTAAAAAATCTAGCTAGTAGGGATTGGAGAATCAAGTGGAAATTTAAAAAGAGCTGACGGAAAAAAAAAAGGGAGGGGGGGGGGGGGGGTACGAGAACATGAATTTACCTTAAACAAAAAGGTTTCAATTAAAAGCTCAAAGAGAGAGAGACAATAGTGAAGGAAGGCTTCCAAAATACTATTAGCAGGTCGTGTTGCATCTTTTTCTTTTTTTCAAAAAAGAAATTGATAAATATTATACACGTGGAAAAGCCACGTATTAAGGGTATGAGACAATTAGAAGTGACTATTTTGGTATCTCTTGCTTGTATTTATTTTTTTTTAAAATAAAATAATAACTAATCATGATTCATCTGGATTCTGGAGTCCTGTAAATGAGCAATTTAAATAAAAAATGAATTATCTGAGTTAATATATTAAACTGTAGTTACATGCAACTTTTTTTTTTCTTTCAAAAAGGTAAAGTATAAATAAATGCAAAATAAAATTTTTGTTTTACACAACAGTTTTCAAATGAGTTAAATGTTTTATAAATCAAATTAATAAAAATTTATAAATTTAATTTAATTTTTTTATTTTTAAAATCAACTAAACAAAATTAATCTCTTTTGGTGAAAAATTAAACCAACTATATAAATCAAATACAAAATAGAACTGTTAAAAAGCATAATCAATTATTGCTTCTTTTTCTTTTTGTGATAGCCTACACTATAAAAGGTTTTCTTTTTTTAGATATCTTTTAATGGTAGTCTATTCTAGCATATTTGTATTAGTTGTTGGTATAATACTTTTTTATTCTAGCAATTTAATAAATTGTTGATAAAATCTGAAATTTATACAAATAATTTTATGTTATATCTATATATATGTGTTAGTAAATGATAGCCTTTTTTTTATTAGTGAAATTACAAAATTGATAATATATAGTACATGAGAACTGAGAACATATTTTAAAAATTTATATATAAGAAAAATATCATAAATTTATGTTAATATTACTCTTAGTGATAAATATAAATTTAAAAATTCTATCTAAAGGAAAATTACGGGAATTTATTTTTTTTTTTAATTTATGATCTCGATTTTTCACTTTGAAATTTCATATATATATATATATATATATATTCTTCCAATCTTTTTTATAAAGTGAATATTTAATAAAATAGTGTATACATTTATTATTTTAAAAATATAAAATTTTTCATTTAATAATTAAAAAAATTATATGTTTAAAATTATTTATTTAAATTATTCGTTATTCTTTACTTTCTAGAGAACGTTATATTCATACGAGCATAATTTTAGTTTGGTCACATCATGTCATGAATATTCGTCATTAGTTACTCCGACTACAGAAGGTCAACGAAACCTAACTAGCTTTATCCGGTAATCATGGTGGCCACAAATTTGCAAGTCAGAATTGTCTGCTGAAGGATTTCCACATTCCACATTCCACATTCCACCATGGCCCATATTCAATTTTCTTGATAAGAAGCACTTCGCTCTAAGAAAATTGTAAAAGAAAATAATGGATTTGCTCTGCAAAATAATTTTCTTATTGTTCCTATGCACTTGGGGTGCAGAATCTGAAGACCCCTTGGGGGAATTCTGCAATAAAAACACTAACATTAGTAGTGGTGGAAAATTATCATCTAACATTGATAAAGTAGTAGCTGAATTAGCCCTCAAAACTCCCTCCACTGGCTTTGTTGCTACCACATATGGAAAAGGCCAAGACCAAGTTTATGCCTTGGCTCAATGCAGGGGAGATGTTAGCATCCAAGATTGCTCCACTTGTATTCAAGATGCAACAAAGCAAATCCGTCAACGTTGTCCAAGCCAAGCAGATGCAAGGATTTGGTATGATTATTGCTTTCTAAGGTATGACAACAAGAGTTTCTTTGGTGAAGTTGATACATCTTTTGGCATATTCTATTTTAATGTTGAAAATGTGACTGACCCTGAAGCTTTTAATACACAACTTGGGGCTCTAATGGATCACATTAGAGCACAAGCTGTTATGCCCAAAGAGGAAGGGCTTGGGAAGGGAAAATCCAAGTTGTCCCCATTTGTGACACTTTATGCGTTGGTGCAATGCACTAGGGACTTGTCTGAGCTATCTTGTGCTCAGTGTTTGGCCATTGCAGTGAACAACTTCCCTAACTTTTGCAATAATCGTAGAGGGTGTAGAGCGCTATATAGTTCTTGTTATGTTCGATATGAACTCTACCCATTTTTCTTCCCTCTTGATTCAAACAACACAGGCTCAACTTCCGACACAGTTAGGGTCAGCTTTTATCCTTGAAAAAAATGCTGAAATTCATATTTCATGCCAAAAGAAGCATTCTTGCTTGGTTGGGCATCAAATACCTGTTTATTGTGAAAAATATGTTGCTATGACCCCCCATGAATATGGAAGATGCATTCTGAAAAGGCTTTATCTTAGGAAACAAAAAAGTAAAACAGACAACAAATAAGAAGACTTTGTCTCAGTAATTGGAATTGATCAAAGTATGCAGTTAGTCCAAAAGCATGGCATCTCTAGCTGATGTATGCGATGTCTGTAACTTGTAAAATCTTTTGTTTTCCATGTTAATTATGAGTTTCTGCATGGACAACTTTCTTATTCTAAATTAGAAATGAAAAAAGGTCTAAATCATGAAATGTACGTGTTTCTAAGTTCAAAATTGTTGATCTTTTCCTATGTTGGTCCGAAAAAAATCAGTGTCTTTTTTTTTATCTTTAAGAACTGAAATTAAACATTCAAATATAATATTTTTTATAAAAAAATAAATATTTATTACACTTTTTAAATATAAATTTACTATTCTGAACTGAAACGCTTAAACACAATTCGGTGAGCTTAAGAAAACAAAACCAGAATTTTATCTTTTTATGAAAACAAATCTCAAGCTCAGCAGGACGGGGGAAATTCAGTTTATAATTTTATATAGTTGCAATATTAATGTAGAAGATCATTCTAGTAAAACATGGACATTTCATGATTATATCACGATTAATATTTAAAAAGAAAAAGTAAACAATTCATTGATTCTGGTTTGAAGCGATTAATTTTCTCTTGAAAAGTGAATAGCCAACATAATCTACAATTAGACTTCAATATAACCACGGAATAATGCTCAGTGCACATCAGCAGAAATCATATCTCACATTTGTGCAAGGTGACAGTAAGAGTATAGATATTTCCAAAGTGGGACAAAAGATATTTAAACTGGGAATACAGTGAAAACTTGAGGTGGTACCTATGCATCGGTGTGTATATATTATATATACACTCAAACATGTTAATTAATTATAAATTTTTAACTGAGCCTAAGAAAGGAAAATGTTATTATAACATTAAATATCAAGCAAAAATTCAAGATTTATTTTGATTAATTAAACTAAAGCATCTAAAAGTTCCTTTGGAACATCTTGCAGTAAAAGTAACCAATTCTTAGAGTAAAAGAATTGAAATAATATACTCATTAATCGTCCAATAAATTTAAAATTATCTTAAATGAGAGTTTTTAATAGTCTATGCATGAAAGACTGTGAGAGAAGTTAAATGTTGTTTTTATTAGAGTAAGAAATATAAATAAGCATTGTTTAAAGAAGTAAAATGGCCTAAAATAGCTAAAGCAGTGTAATAATAAATAATTTCCATGCTGACTTGTCAACTTTATAATTGATGCTTCAATATTTTAGATTATGACAGATATGTGAGAAAAAAATATCTCAAATTAAAAAAAAATGAACAAAATAAGAATTTCATAAGTGAAAGGACCTATGAGTAAATAATCCAAGAGGCTGAATTATATATTTTGGAAATAGTAATGGATGTTCTATCTTCATGTTGATACGTGTGATGAAGTAGTCTCACATCATAATGAATTAGAAAGTTTTTTATTATGCATTGGTCAGTTTTTTTAATTTAAATAAATTTTAATATACAAAAATATATATAAGAAATAAAAATTTCATCATTATAAAAAAAAAGAAGTCAAATTACATATTTAAAAAAAGATAAAATATAATAAGAGATTAATTTGTAAAAAATAATGTATAAATACACATGACGATAATTTAAATTATAATTTATATCTGTGAATTAGTTGATTAACCTTTAATTTTGTTTTGATTTAATTTTTTAATTTAATTTTATTTTGATCTCTTAATTTATAAAAATATTTGAAATAATTTTTTATTAAAATATGTTAATTCCATTTAAAACTTATTATTTATTTATTTTATGAATTTCAACAAAAACACATTATATTTTGATGAATATTTAAGTTATTTTTTTCTCCTTCTACTTGGAATTCACGTTTTTATGACCCAATTCTTTTCTCATCCCTTCTCTCTTCCCCTCTCTTTCTCCTAATTGGAACTTCAAATAAAAGAAAAAGAAAAAAAAGTCTTGAACGAATGAATTAGAAATAAGAAAAAAAGAAGAAGAGATAACTAGAAAATTCACCAAAATATATTATACTTTTGTTGAAGTATGCAAGAATAAATAAAATAAATAATAATTTTTTTAAGATAATTAATGGTTTTGACAAAAAATAACTTATTTCAATTATTTTATAAATTAAAGAACTAAATTAAATTAAGAGACCAAATAAAAAATAACTAATTTACTAATTTAACTAAATATATAATTAACTAATTTAATATTTAGTAAAAAATACCTAATAATATTCTTAAAAATAATTCTTTTAAAAGATTAGAAGCTGAAACCATACAAAAAGATACTTTGGAACTAAAGTTAATTTTAAAATATTTAAAAGTCCAACAATATATTTTTAAGAATTGTGTGTCAATGCATACATAGACTAATATTGAATTGTACACATTTTACAATTTTTTTTAATAATTGGGAACAAGTTTATTTATTTTTGAAGACTTTAGAATCGAAACCAAATAAAAATATTCTAATAGTTGATTCCAAATTTTAAAATATTTATTTAAAATTTTAAAACTACTACTATTATTATTTGAACATGATATTAAACACTCACAAAACAGAAAAAAACTCTTCTTACTTTTCTTATTTTTTTTTGCTTCAGGCAAACAAAGGGATATTAAATAACATTTTGGAAAACAAACAAACAAACTAATGTGAAAAACATTTAAATGTACTTTTATCCTTGAAAATATAATATATTTGAAAAATATTTTTTATAAAATAAAAATACATTTACCTCTAAAAATATTAAAATGTTTTTAATAAGTTATTTTGTTGGGACAATATTTTTTAATAAGTCGAAAAGGCGAAAAGAAAATCAAGGAGAGTGACGTTCCATTTCAAGCAAAATAAACGCATCACACATGTCTCTGCTCGTACCGTGGCAACGTGAGCTTCCTCCCAGGGTTTGCATTTGCGTGGCGTAGATAATCGCAAACCCTTTCCTTTCTGTGTTGTAGCATCCATTTCTAAGCTATCAGCTACTCTTTTCACTCTTTCTCTTCCACACAATGAACAGGTATCTATGCCTTTTCCTTTTAACGATTTTCAATTCCAATCCTTTTGCCGCAATTAGATTCTTCTCTCTCTCTGGTTTCTCCGTATGCCAGGATGAAAATGATTGATTTTTTCTTTTTTTGTTTCTTCTGTAATGTGGTTTTCTATCTTTTTATTGTGTTTCCGATGTAAAAATTGTTTTGGGTCTAATTGAGTAACTTTTATAACAGAGTGATAAAGAAGACTTTTTCAAATGTCTGTGCACTCAAAATTCCGAGGAAGTATTTTTGTAATGAGGTTGTGAATGTTGCTGGTTCTACTAGTGGAGAGGCTCCCAATGTAAGCACACAACATCTCATATCAATAATTCTCTTTTTTAGTTTTGTTCTGGGCGTGGGGGTGTTTACATTTGTTCATTTATCAATTATAGCTTATAATTACTCCTTAGTCCTTATTATAGGTTAAAGTGTACAAAATGGCGATTCATTGGAACTAGAGGAGTGCTGGGAACAAACTTTTAGTTGTTAGCTAAAATTTATCAAACTACAAAAGTACAAGATATAATCATTGAATTAAGAGTGAGACTTACATGATTTTTGTAATTTTTAATTAATTTTAGCCAATTATTAGGAGTGTGTTGCTAGCATTTCTCTTGAAACAATATTAGAAATTTATGGAATATAACGTATTAGACAGAACCAGTAAGGGCTAGTTATTTTTGCAATAGATTTTGGAAACTTCAAATTTTGGCAATATAATTTGATAAAATGGGTGTGATTCTTGTGTTTCTAAATTGATCGTTTGGCATGGATATAGTTGAAGATTGTAACCCTGTTGATACAGCTCTCCAAGTTTCTTTTTAATATTCAGTGAAAGATGTAACACATAACCTATGAAGCCTAGATACTTAATACGACATGGATATGATATGGATAAGGGGATACGGGAAAAATTTAAAATTCAAGATACGATATGACTTAGATATGTTAACATGAATTAAAAGAAATAACATATTTTATACATATAAAAAATATTTATAAAGAGATATTGATAATTCATTTATATTAATGTGTTATATTTGGATATAAATTATTATATTTTACAAAAAAAATACCTGCGATCATATCTTTCCTTTGTCTAAGTAACTAAGTCAAAATATTTCTCCTACTATAAACACATTAAAAATTATATATTTTACCCACTATTCAAGTTAGAATTCCATAAAAGAATTAGTAGTAGAACTATTACAAAAAGAAGGTCATGCCTTTATATCATGTAATTCTAAGCTGTATCAGATGATTAGGCGCTGTATTCCAGCCATATTAAGTCGTATCAGGTTGGAAATTAATTTTTAAAAATAAATTTAATTCTATCTAAGCTGACATGGATACGTTGGCTGTTTTGAAGTATCTGGGCTTCATAGAACGTAACCCTGTTTCCTTTAATACTTTTAGCAAACATTCCTGAATTGTAGATTAGACTTACATAAGTCTTTTTATAGTGAAGAAGGTACTTTTATGGCATTTTGATAAATTTTTAGGTGAGTGATCAGTTTCAGATTGTCATTACAAAGTCACGGTTAGGCAATCTAGTTGAGATTTGAATTTGTCATTATTGTTATGGATAACTTTTTGAAAAATCTCAATATATCTTGTATTTTAGTTTACTATGACACAAAATTGAGGTTTTCTAAGATAACCAAATGTGATCTTATAGTAAATGCGGATTTGTTTTGAGAAACAGCAGGGTTTCAGAGAGTGAGACTAGGACAGTAGGGGAGAGGGGCTGCCAATACATGTTCTGTTTTGTCAATATCAACAACTAAAATCCTGATACTGAAGCTGACTGCAGAGTATCTATTTACCAATACTATAGCAGCATAAAGACTCATTACCCTTTGGGTTGATTGATCATGTAGAAAGAAAGTATACTATATTCCTTAACCTTCCTCCCACTCAAGCTGCAAGCTCTTGGTTCAAGTAGAAAATTCAAACAGAAATGAAAGAACACCAAGCTATGAAACAACTTTACCAATTTCAACGAACAACTTATGCCTGTACTGCACTTGGCTAACAAAACCTTTTGGTGCTGACCTGGGAAGACATCTCAAGCACACAGCTTCAGATGATTTTGACTTTTTTCATCATTGATCACCTCAGCTTTCATGCTTGTCACCACAATACTGGACTAGCCAGTAACCAAACATAGCTCCTCTACTAGTGTTGTAAGTCTTCAAATCACAATTCCATAGACATCAAAGCTAACTCACCAAACCAAGACTCTGAGCAATGATGCCATACCAGCTCAGGGTATGTTTGTTTGGATATTGGTAGAATTGATTTCAATGTTATTAATGGCAGATGGCGGCTCATGACAGAAACCCAAAAAACTGCCATAAAGTTATGGCAGCCGCCATGGCGGGTTATGGCGGATTTATGGTGGATATAATAAAATATATAAAAAAGATACTATAGGTCATAGAAAATGATAAAAAATAATTAACTCAATATATGTAGTATAACTTACAATCCAAAGCATAATTGAATACAAAATATTCAATTATCAAATGTCAAGTTAACATTAAAAACAAAAATGATCATTTTCTGTATTGTGTTAGGCTTGACCTGAGGAGAGGAAATGTTCTCTCTCAAGGAGCAACTCCTCTGGTATCCTTTTAAGCTCTGACAAGTTTTGGAATTCTGAATAAAAAATCTCTGCAACCAGAATCTTCATTTTTGGTTTACTATCACTAATCCACTACCTGTTCAACCACTGCATTTTCTCCAACTCTTTTGAAGCCATATCATCAACAACAAACCATAAATGAACACCCAAGTTGGGCAACTTGCCCTCACTCCCCTGAGCATGTTTCTCTATATGTTAAGTGTTAACACAGTCCACAATCATTATTAAGTTGGGAAACTTGCCCTCATTTCTTTGAACAACATGCTCTGTGGGGTTAAATCTAGTCACAACCAAGGAAAAACTATGTAATATAATGATACAATCATCGTTTTCTTTTTGGTGGATGCAGTATTGTAGCATCATCTTTTTAATTTCTGGTTTGTTTACTCATAATCATACTACATTGATTAGAGGGATGATTGAGAAATTGTGATTCATTACTCTGTTCTCAGTTTCTTCGTAATCTTTGTCCATTGTCATCACTTCTCCCATAATTATTTTACATCTTTGTGGATTTTCATATTATTATTCTAGTTTATATTGAAAGATAATTATTTTCCAATGGAGTAACAAATGAAAATTGCGCGATTTGTATTCTTGAAAATTTGCAGGAGCATGAGAAGCAGACTATTAACAAAATTATTCCGCAATATGATATTGCTATTGTTGGAGGAGGCATGGTTGGCATGGCTCTAGCTTGTTTCTTGGGTATTTAATAATCTACATTTAGCTTGTGCTCTGCTAATATGGCTCTATCTCCTCTTTATCTTTAAAATCATATTAAGCAGTTAACTGTAGTCATTCATTATGACAAATTATTCAAGTATTTGTGTTTGCTATCTGCATTTTCAAAGCGTAATTGGATTTTGTTCTTGCAAGATTCCTGATATAATAAATGAATGGTTAGGCTTGAGGATAGTATCTCAATGCATTTAAATCACAGTAAAACTTCGGTATATGATAAATATTGATAACTTAAGTTTTATAAAAGAGAACATTAGAGCTTGTATTTGTCTGACAGTCAATTTATTTGTGATCATTTTAAAAGATTATGGCTCAACCTTGTTCACTTGTCATTCGTAAAGCTGCCTATTAAATTTGAAAGTTGCATTTATAATTTGCATATGTTTATGACAAATTGTGTTGTTCTCACACTTCGATGTATCCTTGTTCAAATATCTCTGTGTTTACTTTGTATTCTATAATTTGTCATGAAACAGGCTAAGAATGATAATGACAATGGAAGGAAGTATTAAAACATGAGAGAGAGAGTGAGAGAGAGAGAGAGGGAGAGAGGAGAGAGAGGTGGAAATAGAAAAAATAAGGTGATGTTTGGGAGCACTATTTTTTCTGGAATTTTTTTCCCTATTTTAAAAGCTCTCTCGGGAAGCTATCAAAAGAAGTGATTATTTCCTTAGGGTTTTAGGGTTTAGGGTTTAGGACATTAGGACAAGCATACAATGAAAACTACCTATTTGATGATGATGCTGGAGAGTATCATGTTATATAAAACTATTGATGCCTCAAATCTGGCAATTGTTTTGTCCTTCCAGCAAGTATGCCAATGACAAAGCAGTTGAGTGTTGCAATTATTGATAGCAATCCGGCTCTGGGTAGGAGCTTACACATCAAGAAGGAAGATCCCCCTGATCCAAGAGTCAGTACAGTAACTCCTGCTACTATATCTCTTCTCAAAGGTATTAACTTCTTAAGGTTTGTTAATCACTATTATTGTGGTTTAAATTTCAAATTCTCTAATTTTTGTTTTTTTTAATAGAAAAGGAAACACTGCAAAACTTTTATTAGGGATAAAAGGAGGAAAGTACAACTATGTGGAGGATAACATATTATCCAAAACAGAATAAACAAGGTACAACAAGAAATATATATGAAATAAAAATAAAGAATATAAACATGGCTGTTGAGTCCTTCTATCTGCTAGAAATGGCAACTCCCCTAATATTGCAGCATATAGAACTCCAAAGGGGAGCCACTACATCCTTTCTCGTACAAAGTGTATGGGAAAACTGGAAAAGAGACACTGTCAAATATGAGGGCAATCCACTAGCCAGTTACAAATGCACCAAAAATTGTGTGAACTGCTCATTTCCCATAAAATTGTTTTTCTTCTTTCTTGTAAAAACCTGTATAGTGAACCATAAAATTCCACTTCAAAGCATAAGGGAACTAAGAGAAGGATATTAATAGTGAATAGTGCACTTGCAGCAATTAGCAGTTCATACAGCTATAGAGGATATAAAACAGCATAACACAATTTTGAAGAATAGAGAAAAATATTAAAAGAATGATCTATTTATACATTATATTATGGCAACTAAAAACAAATGAAACTACAACAGTAATAGCAAAGCCTTATTCCACTAGGCGAGGTTCGGTACATGGATCATATGATACCATTGGACTCTGTCAAAAACTAAATTTTTAGAGATATTATTTATCTTGAGATCTATTTTGATGATTTCCTTCAAGGTTCTTTTTGGGTCTCTTACTATTTTTTATAAGGCTAAAGACCATAAATTCATCCTCCTCTCTAGTCTCTAGTGCCTCTAATGGCCTTCGTCAAGAAAGTTTCACTTTTTTATTTTCTTTGGTTCTGATCTGCTCTATATATAGTACAGGCACATTTATGACACGTAATGACAAATTAAATTTAATTCCTAATTTAGGCTGATTCTATTCCTAGTTGATACAACATATAATAGGAAACAGAATAATAATAGATGTAATAATAAATTCCCTGATTAACAGGCCTCTATACATACCCAAACCACTTTAACCAATTTTCTGTCATCTGCTTCTCAATAGGTGTTTCCCCAATCTCTCTTTGTATATAATCATTTATTATCCTGTTTTTTCTCACGTGATCACATATCTATCTTAACATTCTCATTTCTGTTACTCTTACTTTTTTCTTGTATAGTCAACTAATACCAAATGGGAAAGCTAATATATATAAAAAACTAAACTCACGTTTTCATATATAATTCATGCATAATAAATAATCATCAAGGTCTAATTAAATTAGCCATGAGAAACAACTTTCAACACAAACCATGAATATGTCAAATATTGGAAGATTTGTAGGAACTAAGCTTTGTTTCCGATCTGCTAAGAGATCTGAATGACATTCCTGTTCCTCATTAAAGTTCAGTGTGAAGCAGTCCTATTGGCTTCTTTGCACATGCTTATGTGCATATGCGATGATTGACTCTTCCATCCTCAGGCAAAAATTTATGTATACATAATTCTTGCTCTATGTGTCTTTGTTTGGTCTTGGCTCACTGCAGTTCTCACTACATCCAAATTTGATTATTCATGTCACACACAGTATTCTCCTTTGCTGCACAATCTATCAGTTCACTTCAAGTCTATATAACTGTCAAGCTATCATGATCTTGAAGTTGGTGTGCCAAAATAGTAGCCAATTTTTTTGCACTGATCCCATCTCTTCACATGTGCTGTTTCAGATTGCATAAAATAAATTTAATAATTAATTAGAACCAGGGGTGAATGCCACTGCTTCCAACATGGTGACATTTTGCTTTTATTGAGTTTAAAGTCCTTGCTTAGGTTACATGAATGAAATTGGAGCATCAATGTTACTTGGATTTTTGCTTATATGATAGTAATGAAAACATGTTTTTTGTAGTGACTCTGTATACTTGGTCCATTTTCAGATGCTGGTGCTTGGAAATATGTTGAGCAAAACAGACATGCTTATTTTAATAAAATGCAGGTAACTAATTTTCTGTCCCTTTACTGTAGTTATTAATTATTTTCTTTTCATGAATAGCTCAATAATGGGAATCAATTTTCAGAGTACAAAGTTGTTAGGAGCTTGTTTAGGAAATTGATCTGAATGTTGCACATATACATGCTTTTTCTTTTTTGTAGATCACTTGTATGATTGTTTGTCTACTGTATTATGTGAGCATGGTTAGGATTTGGTTAAGGGGGTTAGATCCTCGTCCTGTGATTTGAAAAATGAAGTCTTGTAATTTATTTACCCTTAATCCATGGATGAGATCTCCAAGACATGCCAGATGGATAATTCGTCCAAAATAAAGGAAGTGTAACAGTTTGTTTTAAAATTTAATTATTTTCTACTATTTATGTCAAAACTGCACCCAAGATGCTAAGGCAAGGTGCATGAAGGGTTCTTGCCTTGATGTTTCAGGCAAAACCTCTTCAGCAGGTGCTTGCTTTTTGCCAATTTTGGGCCTTCTCACACCTTTGATGCCTTGATAAGCTCCATAATTGTTTGTCTTATTTGACTGACAATATGAATAATCAAAAGCCAACTGCCCACCGTATTTTAAGATTAAGATTATTACTGAAGATATTAAGGCTATTAGTCTTATTGTTAGTGGCTTGCATTAGTTGTCTTTTCCTTTTTCCTTTCAGTAGGGCTGTCAAAGCTCCTGGATGTAGATTCCTATCACCTAACTTCATTGAAACTATTTTTTGGTGCATTTTGCCTCAATGCAGTAGATTCTCATTGTGCTTCAATGATGCATTTATCTTTTACTACATTGTTTAATCTGTTTTTCAAAATTTCATGAATTCTCTGTCCATTGCAGGTCTGGGATTATACTGGTTTAGGGTACGCTAGATACCATGCAAGAGATGTAGATAAGGACTTTCTAGGGTAAGTATGAACATGTCATAGTGAAGTAGATACCTTTGCGAAGCAGCTATATCATAATTGGAAAAACTTTATCACTCAGGTGTGTGGCGGAGAATAAAGTGCTCCATAATGCCTTATTGTCATGTGTAAAGGTATAAATTCACATTGTCTATCTGTGGTATGTAGTAGGAGATTACTTAGCTTTATGATAAGCATTTAGCTACTTGGATAATGTTTCAAATTGAAGGTAAGGGTAAGAGTGGGCATAGTTTGGAGCTTTTTGTCAACCAGCTTGAAACTAGCTTTAAGATGGTCTTAAATCGGTTTGGTTACAGAACCAGTTTTGAACCCAAAATTTTTGGACTGATTTTAAAACCTGTTTTTGAACCAGTTTTACAGTTGGTTTTCCCTATTCCAAGTCCCAGGCTGTTAATCATGTATAAATATGGAAATAGGACCAAAAAAAAGCTCTTTTCAACTTGAAATAAGAGTGTCAAGATATTAAAAGTTCTGCAAACACAGAATAAAGTCAAGAAAAAAGGCATACAAAATAATGTAGCTACCAAGGTCTGATGTACGGGTCAAATATCATAAACTTCTTTTAGCATAAATCTAGTTTCAGCCCTCCGAAGGATCCACTAATACAACTGAAATTTCAAGAGAAAGCCAAAATTGCTTAAAATTAATGGTCATATAAGATTTGATGACAAGTATGTAGACGAAAAAAAATTGCCCCAGCAGCATTCATCCCTGCAAGAAGATAATATGGGCAAAAAAAAATGCATGCATTAAAGTAAGGCAGAAATGGAAAAGAACTGTATCAAGATTCAGGCTTAGGTGATAAACTAATCAAGGATTGAAACAATATGAGACAAACAGGTAATTTATCGTTGACTTTCCTTTTAGACAATTTTGTTATGTGCGTAGAGCTATTACCTGTTAAGATTAAGAATTATCATAATGCATCTTAACATTTGCAACTTACTATCACTAGCATCAACTTTATTTATATCAAGCTAAACACCAGTCATGTAAATATGATACATAAAATTAATGTGTGTATATTTGTCTCCATGTGTTTCCAAAGTTTACACATCCCATACTTGAGTAATTATTATTCTATTAAATAAAGAATTTCTAAACTGAAAGTGTTTACATTGTAAGATAAAATGGTTGGTTGAATTTGAAGCACTCAAACATATAAATTATGATTGAACAAACAATCTTAATGAATGGACATCACAAAACAGTGGAGGTTCAGTTTTACAAAATGAAAAGAAACAATAATAATAATAATTAAAAAGCAATCATCATTCACTTATGACATGAGGAGAAAATTTAAGAAAATTTTGGAAATTTATATTTCTAGATGCTAATATAAGTTGCTATTTGTTTTTTAGAAAATAAAAGAGGACTAACGTGAATACATTATGAAGAAAAAAATAAGAACCTAAAAACTACTGTAGAGAAAAACAAGTAAAAAACAAAAAGAAAAGAAAGGGAAAATAAGTAAAAACAAAAAGAAAAGAAATATAAATTAAAAGTAGAGAATATCATCTTCTCATCACAAAACATACTTACAAGCCCATCCTCAGCTGTTAATATATAGGGCAGATTAAAAACTAAAAAAGTTTTGTGGGACTTATTTAGTTGACTTCAATGATACTAATGTTCAGTGAGACTAGTTAGCATATTTGTAAAACATACACACACATCTTCCATCTTTTAAGGATATCTGTTATCACCATAGAGCAAGCGCTCAATAGAAAAAAATACTAAGTATCCACATGCTTAGAACTTATAATTTTTATTTATAATGAACAAATATAGGATAATCTAATCAACCTTGTAGGGTTTTACACTCCTTTTTGTCTTTGCATAAAGTTTCACAACACCATTATTTTGCATTTCAAACTTATGTTTTTGTTGCTCCAATTTCTTTATATATTGAAAGAAGCAGTGATTAAAGATACATACAATGTCTTTAAGCATGGAAACTGAAAGCCAAGTCTCCCAACCATTACAGACATAACTCTCTTGAAGTACAACTTCAGGAAAATCATGAACAAAGACAAGATAAGATGTGTTCAATAGTACAAATAATACATGCATTAATGCAGGGAGAAAATTAAAAAGAAACTGCATTAAGATATAAGGCAGGGAATGGCACAGAATCTGGATCTGGAAATGTCTTGCTTTGGTATTTTACATGCTTGTCATTAAATTCTTTACAACCCTTAATTTTAGACATTTTTGGCTGAACTAGATTTATGCAAAAAGAATCTTGTGATATTTGACTCATTAAACTTTGGGAGCTATATTTTTTGTATGTCTTTTTTCTTGACTTAACTTTTTCTATTTTTGGAGAAGTCTTGTTATCTTGAAACTCTTATTTCAAGTTGAAAGAGTATTCAATTTTCTGCCCTATTATAAATGTAGGTACATTTATTCAAGATGGCAAGTGTACAATATTTTTTTGTCTTGTTTCAGTATTTATATACATGATTAAACATGTGAATTTAGTGCTTGGAAGTAGAGAACAACTGGTTTTAAAATCAGTTGAAAGCAATTTTGTTTGAGGTTCACAGTTGGGTTCAGAAAGAGTTTTTAAACCAGTTTGGGAGCTCAGAACCAGTTACAAACCAGTTTTGACACTGAACTGAATTAAAACAAGATTTAAAATCGGTTCCAAACTAGTTCACAAAAAGGTCCAGATTTGTTTTGTAGAAAAAATGGTTTGGTTCTACAAAACGAAACCATATAATACACTTCAGTTTTTTTAGAAAACCGATCCATGCCCACCCTTAATTTAAGATTCTTTAAGCGATTCATAATTTGAAGCTGTTAGGAAGATTCCTCAATCATGCTCCTGATATGTAATTTTCTTCTCTCCTAACACATTATTCTTTTGTAAAAAGTGACCTTTTTTGTCTGTTTAGATAATGTAAGATGTCCCACATTGGCTACAAATATAGCCTAAATACCCTTTATAAGACTTGGACAATTCTTCCCCTTGAAATTGCTTTGGGGGTTGAGTTATGGCTGCTCAGATGAAAATCAACATCATCAACTTGAAAGTCTTGAGTTTTAATATCCTGCCTTCACTTGTGTTTCAATGTACTAAAAGACTCTGAATAGCAAGCTTGCTAATACTAGTGTTTAATGTGGATGATATGAAATATTGTCATATCCTTGGATGTTTTAAAAATTTATGTAACACTGCTGGTTCAGATTCAGGTATAAGTTTTAATTCATTACCATTGCTTGTCACATTATCTGAGTAAAATTTGTCAGTCAAGGGCATGATACATAAATGACATTGAGAACTACAAACTTCTTGACAGGATTCTGATTTCAAGACAACAATCTATCCGTTGAGGTTAACTTCAATGATTTTGAATACAAGCTCTATGTCTATGGTGGAGGAGAATATGGCATCCAAACAACCATCATCTGCTCAAGGTCATAGTGCTAAGCTGCAACTTAGTGATGGCAGTAGCATATATGCAAAGTTGGTGGTAATTTAAAAGTGTTATATTGCATTGCTTTAAACAATAACAAAACTTTGCTTAACATACACTCTGGAGGTTAATTAGCAACTCTCTGATTGTTATAATTTAATGGCTAATTACGTAGATGCTTGTTTTGAAGGTTGGAGCTGATGGAGGAAAATCACATGTTAGGGAATTAGCGGGATTCAAAACAACTGGATGGAATTACTCTCAGAATGCAATAATCTGCACAGTAGAACATAATTCTGAAAATGAATCTGCATGGCAACGGTTTCTACCTACAGGTCCAATTGCTCTTCTACCCATGGGTGACAAGTTTAGCAATATTGTTTGGACCATGAGCTCAACAGAGTCAAACAACCGCAAATCAATTACCGAGGAAGAATTTTTAAAGGAAGTGAATTCTGCTCTAGATTATGGATATGGACCTCACCCTATGTCAAGCTTATTAGGAACTCGAGACATGTTCTCTTGGTTTAAAATGGATGCAACAATATCAGCAAATGAATTCTTTGAAATTCCTCCAAAAGTAACAAGGTTGGCATCTGAAAGGATGGTGTTTCCTTTGTCTTTAAGGCATGCAAATTCCTATGCATCAAAACGCGTGGTTCTTATTGGAGATGCAGCCCACACTGTCCATCCTCTTGCTGGTCAAGGAGTTAATTTGGGTTTTGGAGATGCATTTTCTCTTTCAAGAATTATTGCAGAGAGGATTGCTTTGGGCACTGATATTGGAGAGGTATGTTATGTTTCCAATGTTTTTATCTTGGAAAATATAAATTTTAAGATTGGAAGGTGCCAACTGGCTTTAGAAGTAAAGTCCTTTCCCACTAAGTGCTAGAACCTGGAATCAAATCTCACATTAACACTTTCCCCTCCCTTGGTGTTGAGTCGGTTGTGTGCAATGGTGCGTGTTTGTTCCTGGGTGGTAGAGTCATTTGCTGGTTGGAATCTAAAATGTTTCCTAGATCAATTTGTATTAAACATACTCTTAACAACTTAAAATTGTATCCTTAACTGTTGTTTTGAACGTTCTCACGGAGTATGTATAGAATACAAAATTTAACATAATTTAAAATTTAATTGATATTTTGTTGCACTACTATATTTAACATATGATATGCTATTTTTTAAAAAAAGTAATTTCTACTATCAAACTATATATATCTACGAATATCTAAATTATCTAAAATTTGGTATACAGGACTGTTAGAATATCCCCTGATTCAATAGTTGACTTGATAAAATTAACATTTGTAAAACATTATTAAAGGTGTAAGTTTAACAAATAATATGTGTGCATGCACGCACGTGTATGAAGAACTTTTGGATTGGACGTGATATGGTTCTTTCTTCTTTGTTTATGTTACTTTGCAGGTAAATTTGTTGAAGAAATATGAAGCAGAAAGGAAACCTGCAAATATTATGATGATGGCGATCCTTGATGGCTTCCAAAAAGCCTATTCTATTGATTTCGGACCTTTCAATCTTCTGCGTGCTGCAGCCTTCCATGGGGCAAACTATATATCACCACTCAAAAGAAGTATCATTTCGTATGCTTCCGGGGATCATAAACTGCCCATTTTCTCGTGAGCAGAGAAATGTAGTGTAGGTAAAGCCCTTGACTGACAGCATCTTGCACACGGCCAATCCTTTCCTTTATTACTGGCAAACGTGGATTAAAATGTGTTTTAGCCAATGCTTCAACACCTCCAAAGTTTTCCTTTTTATTTTATTTTATTTATAGGATTGAGGATGAAATGAAATGAGTCAGCTGCCATGTCTGTCATTCTCTTTACCCTTCCAAAGTTTTTCATTTTTTACGAGCTTTACCCTGAAAAAAGTTATGCGCAGCAATGGGTGAAAGTGGGTTGGTGTTGCTTCTTACTCTCTCTTACATGCTGTGGTGATTTTACTTTCAATGAGGATTGTGGGCATTTTTTCTTCAGGGAGTGGTTTAACGAAAGCAAACGGAAGTGCACATCAAATCCTCTTTTTTTTTTTTCTTTTTTTTTTTTTTTCTTGTGGTTAACCTTTGACAGGGAAGAGAAACCCCTTTTTAGTGTCAGGGCACTGGCCACTTGGAGATTGGTGAGGCTGCAAGATGAAAGGTAAGGATGGAAATGGGTTAAATCGCGTCCAGCTCTATCTTAAATAGGTTGGATTCATTCAATATAATTTTTTTAAGGTCCACGTTAGCATTTTCAGAAGTCCAGTTTAGTCTGAAAACATATTTATATAGGTAATTGCTACTATACCTTTGAATTAAGAAGGGTCCAACTACTCGTCTTAGGTGGCTCTGAAGAATATCACGTGTAAAACAATTGCTCAGTGGTATGTCTTGTAATTGAAATTTTGAGCACAAGCTTTTTCTCATCAATCATCTCAAACAGACAATTCTCTTCAACCTCCTTGAGAACTTACCCAAGGCTCTGCTCACCTCACTGCAAACAAAATCCCCTAATTTGTTGCTTTCAGGTATGTCACTAGTAAAGTATACAGATCTTTCACTCTTGTTCAACTACACCAAAAAGCAACGTGCTCTTCCTAAAACAATTGACAATGTCATCGCTATCCTCTGTAGTCCACTTGCACAGAACACAATTTATGTTCTGACAGAACCAAAACCAATGTCTCATAGTTGCCTCACTTTCAACGCCGTCGCAGTGTCCATGGACACGACCTTCACTGTGGTCCGCCATTCTAGTGCTCTTGGAATTTGTTTTCCAGAAAACTCTCAATTGCCTTACTTCCTAATGCCATCAAAGTGCTTTTGTAATTGATTATTTAGAAACCTAACAATTCCCCACTTTCCCTCCGTAAATTGGTTTCCCAAAATCATGGTCTAGGGTTTAAGGTATAAAATTTGGTAGTGTCTAACATGCCCCCTTTAACATCGGGTGCATGCATGCCTCCCTTGTCTTGTAGCCATTTATTTAACGTAAAATTTTATCAACAATTGATATGAATTACCGGTAACTTGCTGGATAAAACATTTTTAAAATAAAATAATTGAAAATAATAAAGTATTAAATAAATCTAAATTTAATTAATGGAAAAGGTACGTGAATCATTTATTAAATAATGCTGTTTAATATTATATTTTTATTATTATTCATTAATTTTTTAAAGTTTTTTTATAAATTTATTTAAATTTAAATAATCATAGAGTATATCTTTAATTTTTTATTAAAAATATTTAAAATTAATTGTATAATACATAAAAAAATTCATTGATAATTAAAATTATTAAAATAGTGAAATTTTTATCATACTTATTGAAATATAAAATAAATAATATGGGAAATTTTTTTATTGTAATAATAAAATTATAAATGTAAATGATGTTGTACCAGTTAAATATTTTATTGACATTAATAAAATTATAAATATGTAATAATATTGTAGTAAGTTTAATTTTTTTTTTTAAATGATTAAAAGCATGTTTAGAATTGTGCATAATGATTATTAGGAATTATAAAATTTAATATGTAAATTAAACTTTGTGCCCATAAAATTTAAAATGAAATTAGTAAATAATAATAATAATAATAATAAAGTTTAATTATATTTTTAGTTTTTATAAATATTAAATATTTTGTGAAAAGTTTTTATAATTTTTTTAATTAAAATTTAGTTTTTATCTTAAATACTGAGCTAAAGGCCGTAGTTCAATCGATCATCAAATCAGGAGATGCTCTAACTTTTTTCTTAGTGGTTTGGTACTCCCCTTTTTTCATTTTAAGAAGTAATAAGGGCTCTTTCTTGCTAATGGAAAGCCAGTGCATGAAGATCTATTCCCCTTGTCCTACGACCTTCCCGCCTAAGGGGAAGAGAGTGGATTGAGGCCTTTAGTTCGTGTTCCCTGGCCAAAATAAATGGAGAAATCACACACGGAAATAAAGTCTAGCCATTGATTGAATTTCAGCTCTTAGATGGGCTTGTTGAGATAGGTCAGAATGAAGCAAATGCCCCTAGTGGAAGGAATATGCCCAAAGGTGGTTTAGAGAATAAGTCAATAAGTAAGATTGAAAGGGCAGGGATATCTCTGGGGTAAAGACAAGGAGCCTAGCTAGGTCCAAACTACACTTGTACGCTTGACATGAAAAGTAGAGGCAAGCGGAGTTAAAGGCCTCACCTCAACAGGATAGAGGCTGCTCCTGGAAGCGGAAGAAGAAGTCCAGTAGGGGTGCAAGTGATGCAGGAACAAGCCGAATCCAAAGTACCTAGACAAAAAAAAAAAAAAAGATAAGAAGTGCCTATCCGCTCATCAAGTAAAGAAAGGCATCGATACATCAAGGACCAGGGTGGTGAAGTGGGGAAGGTGGACAGTAAGCTAGTAATTGCGTTAAGAAAAAGCGGTAGAAGGGCGTGAAGGTGTACTTTCTTTCGCTGTTGTTGGGTATTGTATTAGTGGCAAGCTGACTAACTGATAGGGTCACGAAGAGCCCAACGAATGGAGGACCAGAACTGCTTTGCTTAACACACATATAGTTCAGTTCCCTCAATTCATCACCAACATGCTTGATTCCATTCTCGAGGGACTGAACCCGCTCCTCGAGAATGAAGCTTGCTGGCGATACCGGTATCCATCTATAGTCGTTAGTTCATCGGTGTCAGGGGAGTTTGGTATACTCCCAGCCTATTGTCCCTTTCCCCATGGGGCGGGCTCCTATGATAGGGTCTAAGGAAATCTACCTATTTTCCTTCTTTTCGTTTTCACTCCTTTTTCTTTTTCGTTCCTTCCTTAGGTCTGTCTCCTTCGGCAGATCTTGGGACTCCTTTTGCTGGCTTTGGGCTTTGATCTTTCTCTTATCTGGTGTGGCATCCTGCTTCATCTTTAGGTGTCCTTATTGGTCTCTATCCGCCAGTGCTTAGCTCCATAACTTTCCCTCTCCCCAGCGGTAGCCGGAGCTCACACAACCCAAAAAAGAAAAACAAAGCGTGGTTCATGGTAGGCTCTGATAATGGTTCAGGTAGGGGTTTAGTAAAGGATCTCTAGCATGGAACGATGCTCCTTCTCATGCCCATTTGCCAACATCCAAAAAACCTGCCTCCAAGAAGAATTGTGCCATGCCCTCCCGATCCCCCACTAATAACTAAAATTGCTCGGGGTTGGATAATCTATCAAATGTTGATTAAGTGTGGAGGATATAGGTTGTTTAAGAAGAGAGAATTGTTGGTTCCTTATAGACAACTCTGGTTCCCCCACCTTTTTTTCGTTCTGGGGCCTTACTTAAAAAAAAAGAGAAAGAATCCATTATTTTATTTATAGTACCTTTTCTTTCTTCCACCTACCTCCGAAGGATGGAGGGGGTATACAGCGAAAGAAGCGAGCGTCGAAGGGGTCATCCTGGGTTACTGAAGAGTCGTCCGACTGCTCGGTGACCGAATCAGAGGGGTTTTTACCGCTTTCTCTTCTCTCCAGCACTCTCGGACTGATCATCTTACTGCAACAAAGCAAGCTTAGGAATGAATCTAATGGAAATTTAGGTCTCTGTCCGCTTGGAAGATTCTTCTTTCCTCTTCGGTGAAAGAGGGCAAAGGTGTGTGGGAGAAAGAATTCTAAAAGGAGAGAAGATTTCATTTCGTCCACCAAGCGGGACAGAGTGCGACCCCTAAGCAATTGGGGGTTCTCGTCCATCTCTTGGGGGTCCATATCATCTGAAAACTTTTCCTGTTCGATTAACATAGCTAAATTTGAATAGGATGACTCAGCGTCAGGAAAAGTCAAGTAAGTAAGCCCCCCTTTTGTTTTGTTTTGCCTTGAAAGAATTTTCTTTCGCTGCGCCCTGAATCAATCAAAAAGCTTATATTAATTCATCCCATTTTATTTGGGCGAGAGGGAGGCTGTGAGTCACCTGGGCTACGGATTTGTCGGTTGGTTGATTCTCGAAATCACCTCTTGAGAAAAAAAAGGCCCTCGGGTCCCGACCAAAAAATGAATAGGAAGCGGGGCGGGCGAGGGTCTTTCATTAAAGGGGGAAAAGAGGGGTGGGGCCGCCTTGCGCAGCTTTAGAAAGGAGAGATTTTCAGAAAGTCACTCTCTCCAACCTTTTCTATCTATCCTTGGGCGAGATAAAGTAAATATGATATTTGCGTTGGTTTTTCCAACGAAACTAAGCACTTTCTCATTCGGAAGGCTCAGTCCCACACTCTGACTTCAATGATGGGAACAACCTCCGCACTCCGGCGCTCCAATGAACAAGAGTTCTCCGCCTGACTTTATTTAGAATAGTGGTCGATCCCTCGGGAGTTACATTCGTAACTTAATGTTATGTTCACGCGGTGATATTTTTTCCAAGAGTACTACCCTGTACGTAGTCTATGTCTGGGGAGCATACTTGACAGGAGATAGACACAGGCGGTAGATAGGTCCCCCACTTCGATTCCAGCCCCGTTAGCATCCCCGATCCGAGATAAGGGATTACTCCGTTAGGTCTTTTCGGTCCGGAGCCGGCCGGTAATGGACCTACTTACCTTGCTTGTGGACCAGCTGCAGAGCTAACCCTTGTTCGAGTCTTTTTGCGGTCCCTGTGAACATCTTTTCTTAATGTATTAAAGAGGGCCTCTCTAACCGGTGAAAAGTGGTGGGTGTCCACTAACGGCCATTCCTGGCTCAGCTTTGATAACGCAATTTCGGAAAGAGTCAGTAGTTGGGCACTAGATCCCTTCAGACCTGGAGAACGTGTGAAGCTGGGTCGGGGTTTGGTGAACCAACTGGTCGCTCCTCTAGTTGAAGTATTGGGCCCCTTTTTCTTTGGTTGCCTAGGTTACACCTTCAGAATACTCCAAAAGGAAATTTTTCTCTATTTCCCTCAATCTTCACTTTACGCCAGGCCTCAAATACGTCATAAGGCGTGGAATTAGACCAAGGGGAATCTCCATAGGAACTAGTCCCTAAGATTTCGCACGTAGGAGATCGAGACACAGCCCCAGGGCTATGAGGAAAGATGTAGATCGATCGACTTAGATAGACAACTACATAGAGGGTCTT